TTTTAGGTACTGGGAAGGGTCTACAGGGTGTTCAGGGTCTAAATACTAGATCAGAATCGTAGTGATTTACCTGTTTACAGCCTCCCAAGAGCTGGGATTACAGGGGTGCGCCACCACGCCCAGTCTTGAAGTTTCTTCCCGATAATCTCCTTGGGGTAAGGATGGAGAAGAGGGCTTTTGCTGGAGTAGGGGAGCATCTCTACACATGTCTTAAGCCAGGGTCCCCACTCCCTATGTCCAACTTCCTCATGCATCAAGGGCAGAGCTTGGGGAGAAATGGGGCTGGAGCAATTGATGAATCCCTGGATCTTCGTGCTCTGAGACCTAGGGAAGGAATGGAATTCTCTGCCAGCTCTGTTCTTCCCTATGGGCTGCTGAGAACCCAGGAGCCGACTCTTTCCCTCAAGACTGGGTTGGGCCCAGCCACAGCCACTCCGTGCTTCTGTCTCCTCGCCTTCTGCGAGGAGTGTCCCTTTGAGTGGAAAGTGGGGGTGGGAAGGGTTCTAGGAGGCCTTCTAGCCCTACTTTCTCCTAGGAATCCTAAAAAAAGACTCCAGCTCCTCTGGCAGACCAGCCATCCTTGGGGAGCCCCTTCCCCTCAGACTGGGCCATTGCGGGAAGATATCGCTCTACAAAGACCACTGCTACGGGCCCGGAATGTGGCCAGTATAAAGAGCACGCTTATCACTTGCAAGGCCCTGGGTTCCATACCTGACCCTCCAAAGGAGAATGCTGCTAAGTAGAGAGCCCCAGGGGTGGACACAAAGCCCACAGAGCCCCAGGATCACACCCAGGTGCAGCCGGACAGAAAGGAGACACCCAGGTGAGGCCTGTAGCTGCTCTCACACTCCCAGACATTCTCTGTCAGGAGCGGAGGCCATCCGGCCCACCCGGGCTAAAGAGACTCTCTCAGCCTGCCAGGTGCACACACAGGAAGGAGCCGGGGCCATGATGGCTACCTGGGCACTGATTTTGCTGGTAAGAGGGTGACACCTGGGGTGGGTAGTGGAGGCTGGATTGAATTTCTGCAAGACTCACTCAGAGAATGCAGGTCCGGCCTCGTGGGGGGCACCAGGGAACCATGGCAGAGTCGGTAGAGACACAAGCAGGGCTTCCACCAGCACCCAGCAGACTCCAGCTTCTTCCTGTGGACATAGAGAGGGACAGAGCATACCTCATATTTGTTACTGCCTGTTAGGAATACTACATGTTTATCATGAAAAATTAGAGAGGAAACAGTAAAAAAGATAAAGAAGAAAATTTAAATCGTTCATATGCCAACTACCTATAAATAATTACTGTTAGTGAACATTTTGATACTTCAGCTTCAGAATGTCTTGAAAAAGATGTCTTTAAAAAATGTAGACACGGGGCTGGTGAGATGGCTCAGTGGTCTAAAGCACCTACTTGGAACAAACTTGGCAAAGCATAGGGACAGCGGTTCAATCCCCCAGCACCACATGCCAGCCAGCCCTGTCCCCTGAGCTGGCCACACACACACACACACACACACACACACATAAATAAATGTTTAAAAAAACAATTAAAAAAATGTAGACACACAAAGTACACGTACACATAACCTGCTGTGGTGACACTTGCCTGGATTCACAGCCATTTAATAGCCTTAAAATCATTTTACGTCTGGGAAAGACGTGCCTGGGCAACACAGTGAGACGGCATCTCAAAAGCAAACAAGAGGGGGCTGAGGGTACAACTCAGCATTACGCCTTGGCAAGTGTGAGGACTTTGGTTTGATCACTAGAACCACATGCACAAGAGCACATATACCAGCCTGAGGATGTAGCTCAGTCGTACAGCACCTGCCTGGTAAGTGCAAGGTCCTGAGTTTGATTCCTGGTACCAAAAAAAAAAAAAAAAGTACGTGTACAATAGATACAATATGTAGCATATAGAAATGCACACACACTGCTTAGATGCAGGGGCCGGGAATTCAATCCCCAGGCCTGCCCTGCTGGCCCCGTTCCAGGGATACACTGAGACAGTGACTGAGACTGGGCGTGGTGGTGCGCACCTGTAATCCCAGCACCTGGGAGGCTGTAAGCAGGTAGATCATTAGGAATCCGATTTTTTTTGTTGTTGTTGTTGGAACCAAGGATTGAACTCAGGCCCTTGTATGAGTCCGATCTACGCAGTGAGACCCTGTCCACCCTGTCCTAAATACAAAAAAAAAAAAAAAAAAAAAGAAGTGCACACACACATGCCCAAACACACAGTCTTCTTTTTTTTCCTTCTCCTTTTTTCTCTTTTCTTCTCTTTTTCTTTCTTCTCTATTTTCTTTTCTTTTTCTGTTCTATTTTTTTACTTCCTTCTAGAGTTTTCTGTGTGTGGGGCTGGGGATCAAACCCAGGGCTCGGAGATGCAATGCAAACATTCTACCACTAGCTATAGAAGCATACTATTATAGAAAAAAAAAATGTGTATCTCATAGTAAAGCTATACTGATTGACCACCCCTAACTTGAATGTCCAAAATCTGAAATGGTCCAAAATCCAGAACTCTGGGGCAGCAATGTGACATAAGTGGAAAACTCCACACCTATCCTCCTATGACAAGCTGAGGGCAAAGATGTAGGTGTACTGAAAATGTACACAGCTACCTGTGGACTAAAGGTGTAGCACAGTAGCAGAGCATGTACTCAGCACATACAGGGCCTAGGTTTAATTCCCAGCATCAAAAAACAAAAGTTACCTTTAGGCTACGGGTATAAAGTGTGTATGCCACATAGACGAATTTCATGTTTAAATCAGGGTCCCTTCCACAAGACATCTCATGGGTAGTTAGACAGAATGACTGACTTAGACAGATTGCAAATTCTGAAATTTGGCTGGAAGTGATGGCTCACACCTATAATCATAGCACTCTGGGAGGGTGAAGCAGGAGAATCACTACCAGACCAAACTGCTTAGCAAGACCCTGTATCCAAAAAAAAAAAAAAAATCTATATCCTTCCACTTAATCTCAGATATTATTTCCTATCAACTTATACAGTTCTCTTATTTTTTACATAGATAATGTTCCACTATATGAGTGGATGTATTTTAATTTATTGAATATGTCCCTATAATAGACATTTGAGTTGTCTACAAACTTGCACCTTTGTAAGCAATGCTGAAAGTGATTAAATCTGTGCATATGTCATTTTGCACACATACAGCTGTGCTTGAGGTAACTCCCTAGAAGGGGACCTGCAGCTTACGGGCAGGTGTGGATATAATTTTCGTGTGTTTCCCAAGTAGTTTTCCAGACAACTGGCACTTACTGCTGTAGAATGGGCCAGTTTTGTCTTGATGGAGTGGCAGAGTCAGGTCTGATTGTGAAACCTGTAGGAATGGATTAGGGAAGGGGAGGCTGCCGCAGCAGTGCAGGAAAAACTTGCCCGCCACCCTCTGTGGGCCAGAACCACGGGACCAAGGCAGCTGACCATGGGCAGGAGCTATGGGTCCTAGGAATGCGGGGGACTTCATGGATTGGCATTTGAAGGTGAAGACACAAGGAAATAAGGAACCCAAGCGAAGGCACGGATGAACCCAGAGCAGAGGAGCAGAAGAGGGGGAAACCCCATTTCCTACAGGCAGAGATGTACCCTTCTGCATCAGGGCAGCAACCTTCGTTCTGCAAAGGGGAAGACGCGTCTGGGGCAATGGCAGATTCCTATTCGAGGGTGGATATTGGCCACTTGCCTAGGCCTCTCTTTCCCTGACCCGGCCACAGTGGTCTTAGAATGAAGAAAGGTAGATTCCTTTAATGATGGAGAAGATGGGATAAACTGCTGATAAAGATTTGTAGCAAATAGTTGAGCACTGGGAGACAGAGGAAGATCACAGACCATGCAAGAGATAAGTGGGCCCACATGCAGCAGCTGACAAGGCCGCGCTGTGTCCCTGGCAGCCTGAGCCTGGGCAGTGGAAGGAGACAACACAGACTGGCTTGTTACACAGCACAGTAAATCCTCGAGCGACACTGAGGGCAGCCAGGGATCCAGGCCTAACCAGAGACCCAGTGGGCAGAAGAAAGCTCCCCTTCTATTGCAACCCCGTGGGGTTGGCTCCCGGTGCAAGTGAAATGAAGTCTGCTAATTGGCCAACCTGGCTCACTTTTAAGAACAAAAAGCAAAAGCTCATCAAATGGGGCTGGGGAGATGGCTCAGTGGAATAAGAACTTGCCTGCAAAGCACAGGGCCTTGAGTTCAACCCCTGGTTCTGCCAAAAAAAGAAAAACTCATCAAACATTTGAGCTTCTAGCGCAAAGAAAAGTAAATCAGAATAGAAAGCTATATATTAAAAAAAAAAATAGAAATAAGCCAGGAACATATTTTTAATTTCCACTGTCCACATACCTATAATCCCAGCGCTCAGGAGGCTGAGGCTGGAGAATCACTGCAAATTTGAGGCCAGCCTGGCTTCAGTTCCTAGTACCTTAAAAAAGAAAGAGAGAGGAAGTTCAAGGCCAGTCTGGACTAAAAAACAAATGAACAAACAAATGAAAGAATGAAAAAAGAAATAAGAGCAGAAATAGAAATAATTTGCTACAAGAGAAAAAAAAATTAAGGTCCAGGGAAATGATAACATTGGTGGCCAGAGTAAGCAGGAGGAGCTCAGTGGATACCCCCAAGCACAGGGCCTGCCGCCTGTCCAGTGGACCATGACTGGGGACACATTTGACCCCACTGTCACTGATCTTAGCTGCTTCTCTGCCCCATGTCTTCAAATTTCCCTGTATTAAACCTGGGAAGTCTAGCATATGGGATGCTGAGGCAGGAGAATCGCTGTGAGTTTGAAGCCAGCCTGGGCTACAAAGTGAGTTCAAGGTCAGTCTAAACTGCATAATGCAATTCTATCTGAATTCAAAGAAAACAAAAAACAAAAAACAGAAAACACAAAACTTGGGAAGAGGGGCCGGGGAGATGGCTCAGTAGGATAAGCACTTGACCGGCAAATGCAAGGATCTGAGTTCAATCCCTGGTTCCGCCAAAAAAACAAAACAAAACAAAACTTGGGAAGTCCCATTTTTTTTTAAAGCTGTGGACCTCTGAGCTGCCAGGGATCTTGAACTGGGCTGTGTACAGAGCCTTAATCACGCGCGTCTTGTTCCACGGCTGTTGGTGCTGCTCCCTTGCTCCGCAGGACGGACCTGATGCGCTGGCCAGGGTGAACCTTGGCGTCCTTGGCCCTGGCCTCCTTGCCCTGCGACTTCACACAGCACAGTAGCTCGAGCAGCAGGAATCCCAGGTGTGGGTGTCAGCGGCACTGCGCTGCCTGGAGGTCACCTAGGGAAACCATACGGTGACCAGTCAGGCAAGCTCTCTTTGTACACTGGTCTTTATGAGGACAGGAGCTTCATGGGTTTAATTGGCTGCAGAAAAAACATTGTTTTCTATTACATTTTTATTTCATTTGAAATGAGTTCTTACTTATGTTGCCAGGTTGGACTTGAAATTCAGGGCTTAAGTGATCCTTCTGCCTTAGCGTCCTGATGAGCTGGAACTACAGGTACCAATCCTGCATCGGTTTGCGAAGCTTAAAATAATTCGTATCAATTAGTATCTCAGAGAAATCTGAAAAAAATAACAAATGTCAATGAAGAAATGACAATGGCAAGTATTCAGAAGAAAATAATAGAGGAAGGGGAAAAGGCAGAGAAAAGAAAAGAAAAAAACAATGTAAATCTCTAAGAAAAACTTTAAAAAAGGAATTAATAACAGGATTTTTTTTTTTTTATTTTTTAGTAAGGGTCTACAGGGCCTACAGGGTCTCACTATGTGGATTGTAGTGAGTTCAGCCTCCCAAAGAGCCAGGATTATAGGCCCACGCCACTATGCCCAGTCTCAATTGCTGTCTCAGCACGCCCCGGGGCGGGGCCAGCCCAGCAGCCTGGGGATTGAACCAGCTACTGTGTCTGCCTAAGCAGGTGCTTTAATCCACTGAGCTATTTGGCCAGCCCTCCAATAACAGGATATTGTTTAGCTCTGCAATAAGCAATATTTATACTGTCACAACATGTAAGTGCCATGTATCAGATTTAAACTTTTAGAACCAATGTATAGGGAAAGCATAGAAGACATGGTTATGGTTAGAAAATGAGAATATACTGTTATCGACATTGAGCTTTTTGTGTTTTTGTTTGTTTGTTTGAGACAGAGGTTCACTATATTGTATAGGCTGTCCTTGAGCCTGTTTATATAATCCAAGCAGGCCTTGAACTCACAGTGATCCTCCTGTCTCAGCCTCCCAAGGGCGAAGGGATTACAGGCATGCCTGGCAACACTGAGCATTTAAAGGAAGTGTTCAGAGGCCAGAAGCTGGGAAGAAGAGGCACAAGGGAAAGAGTGATGGTGCTACTGGGATCCTATAAGTCGGGGAAACAGACTACCACCATTAGCTAGCAGAGTGAAAAATAAAGATGCAAACATGCTCCATGAAACAACTAAGATAATCAACAGATTTGTTTTTATTTTACTAAATAAAAACAGCTACATAATAATATTGGAAGAAGGATGGGGAGGGTTGTTGGGATGATATATGTAAACTACGTCGTCACTTTTTCAAAGCTATAAATCGATAGAGGATGTTTGAACTTGAAAAATGAAGGAAAGGCAGCACACGCATGTTATTTAGAGATCTGGACATTCCTCCCAGAATAAAGAGCCAAGAACATTCGAGGGAGTTGTCTCAGGGAAGCAAGACTGGAGGTGGGGAGGGACGAAGGCAGACTCATTTCTGTAGGATTCTCTGTTCTAGGGTATTTTTAGCCATGTGCATGAATTACTTTGAGGGAGGAAAATGTAGGTGCATCACAAGACAGAGGAGAAGGTGATGGCGTGAGCTCTTGGGGCTGCAGGGGAGTCTGGGGCCAGAGCTGAAAGAATGAGACGCCAGGGTCAGGAAAGACCTTGCAGCTAGGGCAGAAACTCAACCTAGATACATCATAAGGACACCAGGCATGAGCACATGTTCTGATTTTTACAAGAAGACAGAATGTATTTCTGGAAACTATAGACCAAGTGGCTCAATATAGAATCCTGGCAAAATTCTAGCACAGATTATTAAACAGATGGCTTGGGAGTGCTTTGTGATTTATTTTTATTTATACTCTACCTCATTCCAAAAAGAGATGTTTGCAGTGGCTTACAGAAATATGTACAAGACAAAAAAAAATTAGTGAGGAAAGGGTCTCAAAAAAAAAAAAAACTAAGTGAGGAGTTACTACATGATGCAATAAACCCCTCCTAAGTATATGTCAAAGAAAACTACAAAAACTTGCATTTGGGTGTTCATAGCAGAGGAATTCCTAATAGCCAAACAGTGGGAGTCCAGATGCCCATCAACCAATAAATGGTTCCACACAATGTGGTATATCCATATAATAGAATACTATTCAGCTATAAAAAAGACTGTGGGTGTTGATACTTGCTACCATATCAGATCAACCTAGAAAACATGCTGAGTGGAAGAAGCTAAAAGTCACATACCACATGATTGCAATTATATAAAATCTCCAGAACCTACAAATCCATAGAGACAGTAAGTAGGGCAAGGGAGGAAGAAATGCTCATGGTATGGAGTTTTCTTCTTCTTCTTCTTCTTCTTCTTCTTCTTCTTCTTCTTCTTCTTCTTCTTCTTCTTCTTCTTCTTCTTCTTCTTCTTCTCCTTCTCCCTC